CATGCTACGTGTGATGTCATCTCGGCGTGTCATGTCTTACTGAGCAATTGCATTAGCTTTGCAAGCTGCACAGCATGCATTAACTTGTGAAAGCTGCCCAAATCTAAGCCTTGTAGCCTTTGCCTCTTGCAATGAATTTTTGCTTTTACTTGTAGAGAGCAGGAAAATGTCATTGTTACCGCAGTTACATAAACGATCTCAGATGCTTAATATGGGTGATACTTGTGCCGCTAAGCTAGATTGTACAAAATCACTGTACGACAGCTGTGTAGTGAAAGGCCCAAAATAATGGGGTTTTTAGACACTGAGAATTAATAGTAAAATAACTGCTATTCTAGGGTTCCTCTCTTGAAACGTTGTCTTCGTATTTGGGAAGTTGGTGTTCCTTACATGACATAAATCCACCTCTTCTCTATAGGATGCAGATATGGAAGAAGAATCTGACTTAAATTCTCTCAACAGAATTAGCTCGTGTGAAGTTCAGTTGTTTGACCTTACAAACCACAAGTTTAGTTTTTCATTGCATGCTGTGGTGCTACAAACTCATAAGCTTGTTTATATCTCAAGATCAGAATGTTTGAAGCTTGTGTGTGAATTCTGCATTTCAAAATATAGTGACTCATATCCACGTGAAACTCGGCTGTCCAAAAATATGGATTACTTACAGATCTAGAGACACTTAGTGCAATTTATGTTTTTAAGTTAAACGAACATATTTATTGGCAAGTCTGAAGAATTAAGAAGTGTTGCAACAAACTGTAAGTTTGATTGAACTTGTATTTTAAGATTAAGCATCTGTTGTGAAAAAGTTGGAATATGCAATTAAATATCCATATTCCAGAAGTCTAAAATCTGAAATCTTTTCTGATACAGATGAGTGAATATGCTCACCCAGGGTTTAAGAAGAGCCTCTCTGATAAATGCGTTGTTCTCATTCATGTCTCAAAAGCTAAAGCAGACTAAAAATTTGAATATTTAATAATTTTTAGGGTATAGGAATTCATACAGGCTATACACTAATAACGCAAGTAGTATCAAATCCTAGTATGTTTTCTCACAGCGGGACCTGCTTTCATTGCAAAAAATGGAATGAGTTGGAACGAGAGCAGAGAATGAGAAAGGACTGTCATTCAGTGCAGAAGGCATCAGCACATTCAAGTAGCCACTGTGATGTATTTAAACACTTAGTGGGATTGCTTGATCACCAAATCTCCACCATCAGTCATGTCCCTGTCGGAGAGAGGATTTGCTGCAAGTTTTTTGGAAGGAGGTTTTTGTATAGGCTCCCCAGACTGGGATAGATACTGATTGCAACCAACAAATGTCCTGCTGTGGGTTTGTTCATTAAATGCTTCTGGTAGAGAAAGGAGAAACAGAATTGTCAGAAAAGAATAGAGAGAGTGAATAGTCGAGCTTCATTCTGTAAGCAGTATTCAGACTCCAGATATGGTTTAGAAGAGTGCACTGACAGATGTTTATCTCCTATAAATCACTGCAATTAATAGACTTGCTTAGACCTGGACCAACATAATTAACAACTGTGTGATTTAAAAAAAAAAAAAAGGCCAAAAATAGCTGTTAAGAGAATGCGCATACACAGTCCAAATGTTGACTGTATCTGGAGAATATTTTTGCTCTAATGAGTCTGAGGATTTTAAGAAGCAGATGGCTCAATGAATCTTGGAAGGGATTTTGCTTGTTCTTCATGTTTTCTGATGGGAATGTTGGCGTAATCTAAAGTCACGGTAGTAACATTTACCCTGTTGCCTTTCTCTTCACTTAGTGAGCTGGCCAGAGAAGTTCAGGTCTCAAAAATAGCTGGTTCAAACATGTCTTCAGGCAGTAGGGCCACAGTTAGCAGTCTCCCTTCTGATCTTCCCCACTGTGCATAAAGATCCAGTGTGCAGTATGAAAGTCTTGAGGTAAAAATACTACACTCTTGCAGAAGACTTTACAGGTAAGTTGCATGTTATTAAAAATGAGTGAGGAGATATCAGTATAAAACCTGGAATATCTTTAATAGCATGTAGCTCCTAAAAATAATAGTCTGGGAACCCCATGGCAGCTGGGAATTCAACCTTGTTTTTCCAGCAGTGATAGTGGTTAGTCTTTCAGGAGTGTGTTAAGTGAAACAGAGGAGAAAATACTCTTTTCCAAGGTACCATATTTGGTAAAGGAAGAAAGTGGTGAAATGACACATAACTACCTATCTGTTTACCATCCTTAGCCTTAAAATCTTGGCAAGCTGATCACTTGACTTTCTTGACAGACATTTGAGATGTTAGGCCTTAGTTAATCAAGAAGGATACTCTAAGGTCTCTAGTTTGTGTATGGTATGCTTCAAAGTGAAGCTGAAAGATGTAAACAGTTTCTTTTTGTAAAGATATTAGGAATATCATGCATTCTTCTAAGGTATTTTTAGCTGTGATATAAAAAAAAAGTAAAAAATAAACATGGGGACTCAGGCCGGAGGTGGGGATTGAGCTTGTTTAAAAATAAGTTTATGCAAAGGCTTCAGTTTAGAGGTGGGAATTTTAGATCTCCGGAGTTAGAACTTCCTTAGAGTATGATGCCAGGTGGGAACTCTGCTGTGATAGTCTGTTTTGCCAAAGCTGATGTCCTTTATGTAATCACATGGTTTCTTTCATGAGGTTCAGCACTTCAGCTAGAGGGTCAGCTAGGAAGTAAGCTTTATCTTATTAAAAGCCAATTCTAACATGCTTGAATTTTTCTCCAGTTTTCACACTGATCTTGTTCTGCATTCTAATAAAGCCAGTATCTTTGAAATGACAGAAGCTAGTTTAAGTTGTGAAGGTCTGGGTTTTCTTTTGGGACTTGCACTTTGAGAGCTTGCCAAGGCTAAGTTTGCTTGGGAATTGCTAAAGACCAGACAGTAATAGACAGACAGATATGATGTCTTCCTCCTTTGAAACTTCTTACTGCTGTCTTTGAAAACTATAACCCCACAAAATATACAATGCAGTCAAGAAAGAATAGTGCACATTTTGGAGTCACCTATTAGAGTAGCAGTAGCAACCTTGACTCTTAAATGTTGAAGAATGAAGCATGATTTGTTGTCTCTGCAAGGAGAAATACGGAATTTTTCCTTTTAAACTGCAATGAGAGAAATGAATTAAGATTCCCTCATATTATTTTGTAATACCTGAGGATATGAAGATAATATCTGAGTGATAAAACTGAGGTTCAGCAATTTGTCCTCAGCTACTAGAACTTAATTGAATGGCTGAGAAGTGGAGAATGCCTTAAATAACTAAAACAAAACAAAAAAATCCAAACATGCCAATGATATGAAGGGACACTTAGTGTTGAGTTGGAAGAAGCTACATGGTTTCCTCCATCCTCACAATGTTACCAGACCTGTGTTAGAAAAAAAATTATAATTGCTTTTTGAAACATCTAAACAAGAGGCGAAGGATTTCTGTTTACCTTTTGTGCAGCAAGGGTCTTTCTAGCACCTTTTGAAGGGCCGCAGGCTGTGGCAGCTTAGTGACAGAAAAATCACTTGTCGTGGACTGTATGAGCAGTTGTGGGCCACATCTGTTCCACATGTTGTATGTGCTCTAACTGTGGCATGTTCTGGAAAACAGTACGCTTCTAATCCTGTGAACCCATTTGATCTCGCTGTCAGTAGGATGTGTTTTGGCACCTGCCTAACAACTGTAGGACTCTGATGGCAGAAAATTACTCTGTAAGCTTTGTTGATAGGGTTTGTGGTGGGTTGACCTTGACTGGACACCAGGTGCCACCAAGCTGCTCTGTCACTCCCTCCTCAGCAGGACAGGGGGGAGAAATTAAGATGGGGGAAAAAAAAATCCAAACCCAAACACATGGGTCAAGATAAAGGCTTTTTAATAAAGCAAAAGCAAAGGCCGTGCATGGAAGCAAAGGAAAACAAAAGATTTACTCTCTACTTCCCATCAGCGGGCAATGTCCAGCTGCTTCCGGGGAAGCAGGGCTTCAGTACACGTAGCGGTCACTCCAGAAGAGAAATAACGCAAGTTACTCCTTCCTCCTCCTTTCTCTTGCCGTTTATTGCTGAGCTGACATCGTGTGGTATGGAATATGCCTTCGGCCAGCTTGGGTCAGCTGTCCTGGCTGCGTCCCTTCCCAAGATCTCGCCCACCCCCAGCCTGCTGGGGCGGGGGGCAATGCTGGAGATGGCCTTGATGCTGTGCCAGCACCGCCCTGCAGTAGCCAAAACACCGGTGTGTTATCAACACGGTTCTGGCTACCGTCGCACAGCGCAGCACGGTGGGGGCTGCCGTGGGGAAAATTAACTGAGTCTCAGCCGGACCCAATACAGAGTTGTATGCAATATGCTGTTTGAGGAAGCTTTCAATAGTGGAAAGTCCTCTATGAGCCTTGATAGAACAAAGGTAAAAGTGCGGATTTTTGGCATTGTGATCTGCCCATTATATTGTTCTCCCAAGGCACGTGATTTGAGCTATGTTGCTTCAGTCTGAGTGCCAGCGTTAGAACATAGAAGTTTGAGTAATACTGTTTGAGGGGGAGATCTGTAGACTCCAGGTTTGTTGCTCTCACAGCTTTTATTTGGAAGAACCTGTATTTTTATGAAAAAACAACATCAATATAGTTTTATTCTTTGACATGTACTATGTGTGTTTCCATTTCTTCGGTAATGATCACCTGTACTGCATTTCTAAATTTCTTCCTCCTCCTCCACCCGCCACCAGGGTTTTAAACTTTTCAGCACTGTTTCTTATGTATGTGCATCATCTGATCAAGATGGAAATAGGGTGAAATACTAGAAGAACCAGTTGGCTAGATTTCTTTCAACTTCTCTTGCATTGCCTAAAAACTTCTATGTTACCTGACTTAGAGTAGGATAAAAGGTGCTGTTAATACTGTGGTGTGAAATTCGGGGGGTGAATGAGTTTTAAAAGCTTTATGGGGTTTTTTGTTGATTTATTTGTTGGGTCTTTTGTGTTGTTTCTTTTTTTTTTTTTTTTTTTAAACAGGAGTCTTACCCATCTTCATCACCAATATGGTTTGTAGAATCAGATGACCCAAACCTGACTTCAGTCTTAGAGCGCTTAGAAGATATTAAGAAGAGCAATACTCTGGTGAGCAAGTGTTTTGGTTGTTTTGGGTGTTTATTTGGTTTTGGGTGTTTGTTTAACTTTGCCACATTAACAAGCAATTAAAATAATTCAGTTCTGGGGTTATTTGGGGTGTTTTGTAAACACAAGTTTTTCATCCAAAAACATGTGAACTGAATGTAATCCAAAAGATTTGGGGCAAGGAGGAGGAGATGACTTAAATGCTTGCTCTTTAAAAGGAGTTAAGTCTCAGTCTAAATAATTACACAGTTTAAAGTTTTCTGAAAATAATTAAATAGTGAAATGCATGAGAACTTAAAACTACTGTATAAAACAGCTCTTATAGAATTTTCTTTTCACAGAGATCAGTTATGGAGCAAAAGCTTTGTGTTGTTGAGAATGTGTATACTTCAAAACATGGCTATAATGGTAACTAATACAAAGAATTCCTGGTTTCAGACTAGACCTGGTAGCTTCTGGTTCAACACAATGTTCTTTAGATAGTGATAAGTTTGAACAGTGTTGTGACTTCAGACAATTGCTATTTAAAGAAAATCTTTGCACAGATTGTAATGGTAGTTTTGTATTTCAGAAAATTATCAGGCATCGTATCTTGAGTACCCTTTTGATGTAATGATAGGAGCTGTGTGTATGTGTGTGCGTATATACACACAAAAAATATATAAAAAAAACTAACTTCCCATTCTATGCAGAAAAGTAAGTGTCCTTGAATATTGCTTGGAGATGAATTTCAGTACAAATGTACTTTGTTCCACGAAGAGCAGTATTGCAGCCCACTGACAAATTCAGTGGTTGAAAGTGTTGTTTTTCCTCTCCAAATTCAGCTTTATGGGTATTAAATAGCCCTTAAGGATTATCTTTATTAACAGATTATTTTAACACTTTTTGTTTGTATACAGGAATGCATGCACGCATGTGATGCGTTCAAAACACATCAGTCTGCAGAATACTGGTTATTGCATGGATTGTGTGCTGGCCTTAGTATTTGCCTGATTTTGGAAGAATTGGGAATTTTCTTCCTCACGAAACCACTTACTTGTAATGTTCACTGGGATAATGTTAATCAAGCGTCTTTGACCTTAAATAAGGATGTGTATATTTGTTTTTCTAAAGAATATTTCAGATGCATTTGACTTCTAGCCGAAATAATTAGAAAACTAAACAAGTGAGAGTCTTCATGGGCTTTGCCATAATCAAAACCAAAGGGGCATTGCAGAGGAACGTTAGTGTTTTAATGTGCTATGTTGGATCTGCTCACAGGAGACATACATATCACTTGTGTATTTTCTTCTACAACCTAAACTTTACACTAAACTACATTTAGAAGAATGTTACAGATCTCTCTTTCTAGGCAGAAGTCACGAAGACTGACATGTAACGGTATAGTGACAGAAGTTGTAGCCAAATCAACTTTTTTCTTAAATATGCTTTTCAGGAGGCTCTCCAGCTTGAAGCTGGTGAGGCTAATAGCTTCAGACTAAAGGTTTTAAACAAGGTATTTCCCTTGTTTAACTACCTACAGGTTTGCTTGCAGTAGGGTAGAAAGCTTTAGCACCAACATGCATAGGACTTGCTGTGCTGAATTGCATATGCACAGAGACTGCTTATGTACCTTGTAAGAAAACAGCTTCTGATATCAAGATTGTACTTGCCCATGTAAAAGCTGATGGGTTGATGTAATAGACACCTGTGGATGGCCCATTGGTTTCTCAGGAATCCACCCCACATCACGTTATGCCAAGATGAAGACAGATGGGAGTGGTTGAAGAGACAAATACTTACACTACAAAATCTGACTTCTTTGTTTTGCTCAAAAGGCTTGCCTTTGTGGGTTTTGGGTTGGTTTTTTCTCCCTACAACTTTTCCCTGTGCACTCCATCCCTTCAAGGGCATTGGAGGAATTCACACACAGACTTCTTGGAGTAGGGTAGGAATGGATAAGGAACTACCTGTAGGAATCCAGAGACTTCTGATTTCTCATGCTATATCCTAAAGACTCACTTAGTTCAATTTAGACTTTTAGAATGTTTCAAACCAGTTTTCATTTATTGCAGCTAAAGGATCGTTTGTGCCATGTTGCTCTAAACTCATAAAGCTATGGGAACGGTCAAATTCTGAACGGGAAGTTGCATTGGAGTCTTCCAGGAGCTCAACTGAGCACAGCAAACGTGCTAAAAGCACTGCTAGCACATGTACCCTGATTTAACATTCTTTGGTGTTACTCTGCCCTTTCCACTCACTTTGTAACTTTTGACAGGTATCAGCTGTTTGGGAAACTGAAGAACATGCTCTTCAGACATAAAAGTTTGACAGAGCTATATATATGGAAGCCTTGTCATTTGATATGGTAAAAGGAAAACGGTTTTGCTATGTAAAAATCATGCACATGTTGCCTGGAAAATCTTCTGTGGGTCTGAAACTGTGTTACTTACCTTGGCATCAGTATGGTGCTTTTTGCTATGAAAATTTGTCGAAACCCTAAAAATGCTGAAAGGTTATTAAGAACAGCATAGATAGCATCAGGTTTGGAGGCTTTAGCTGCTTGACTGTTGATACTGAGCAAGTTCCAGACAGCAGATGAAGAGGCTGCAGAATTCTCTCTGACCCCTAGTGTCTCCTGATTTCCTTTTCAGATCCTGAAAATCAGCTTTACATTAGACTTGGTAGGTAGCAGCAACTGACAGCTGCCTTCTAGTGGTTGTGCCATGGAAAAGATAAACCCTACTTCAATTGCGTTGTTTGGTTTAATATACTGGAAGTTACAGTTGCAAGTCTGAAGTCTCAAACCTTACTTCATGGGTTATTAAATATAGCTATACATGTTTTGGAGGTTTGCTTTTTAAAGACAATAGTGAAATGGACTTAAATTCAGATAGGCAGCTTTAATTCCGACACTCTCCACACCTTGAGAGCTTAAACTTGCATAGAAGATAATAAAAGTCTAGAATTCCCGGCATAGGTATGTGTATAGTTTGAATAAGCTGCTGTCCTTAAGCACACTGCTTCTGTGTTAAGAATTTAGGTTTAGTCCCACATGATGACATTTCGGGAAAGAATGTTGGCTCTTGCAAACTACCAGTGCAGCAGCACCTAGTTATGTGTTGGGGATCGTAGAGACAAAATGCAGGAGGAAGCTTTGCTTTACTTCCTGGAGCTGCCCAAGGCTGCTGAAACGTGGGTGAGGCCGGTTACTGTCACAGGCTACCTGCTAGCTAAGTAGTGATCGTGCTCCAGATGGCAGTTGTTCCTTCCCTCTGTTTCCTCTTGTATCCTTCTTCAGCAGTTTATTTCAGTGGTAGGCTAAGATTTATTGATTCATTTATTTTTATATAGATATAGTGTGTGTATACATATAGATAGATACATGTAGAAGAATAAGTATGTGTATACTTCTTAAGTCCATGTGTCTTGGTAATCAGAAAACGAGGTCATTCATGGTGAATCCAGCAGTATATTAATATCATTAAAATTCTTAATGCTTTCATACTTCATTAGAAATATCTCTTTATGCGTCAAAAGACCTCCTCGTGTAGGATAGGCTTCAGAAAAATGGTTCTAAACTGTTTGCAGATTTGTAAGATGTTAACACAGGAAATGAAAAATTGAGAGATGTTTTTGTTTTATAAAGCAGCATTATGGTGCCCATAAGAACTACCAACTTCTCAGAACTCCTGAAGCATTAAAAGTTATATTATAGATGTATACATTATATTTTTATATTTTGTTGTTACTTTAATATTAATTATAACAAATACCATTAAGTTATACATTTGTCATTGTATTTGGCCACTTGAGTGTTTACTTTATGCAGGCTATTTGCACTGGTCCTTTAATACCCTGTGGGTCATGCATTCCCATTGCTGCTTAGTTTCTGCTTTTTGTATTCCAGCGTAATTATTGGTGTACCGATAGCCCACTTTTATTCAGTAGCAGCAAAGCGTGTGTTAAGCATTCATTTTACATTAGCCAGGCATGTGAAGTTAGCCTGGAAATACATTTACATTATTAATACATGGCAGAAATCTGCTATCCCTTTTGATACAGTCTATTCATGTACCGTTAACACATGCCAAATCATGCTAGGCCCTGCTTAGAGCAGGGGATTGGATCAGATGACTTCCAGATGTGCTTTTCAGCCCAAATTATCCTATAATTTTTCATATGTTCGAGCAGAGCATAAGCAATAATGGTGATGGTGATCCATGGCAGAAGGATCAAGGGTACGAAATGAGTTCTTGTGGAAGAAAAACGTAACAGTAAGGAAGAAGGGTTGTAGAGATGGGACCAGCTTCTTGCTCTGCCATCACCTTTGCAGATTGTAGAAACTCAGGTCAAGTCAAAACAACTTGGCTATAAAAATGAAGCTGCGGTTTGACAGTTGCGTTAAGCGAACCTTGAATTGTAAACTGCTGCCAAGGAAGGGGATCCCTGCGCTCAGCTGCACCTTCCTGCCTCCCCCTTTATGGTGAAATTGGTGCTTATGTGCTGAAGCACATTACAGCTTGTAAGCTGCTGCATGGTTGTGTGATCTCTGGTGCCTGTGCAAAGGAGAAGGTGAAAATGTGCTGCTGGAGGCAGGGAGACACCTCTTCAGGCACAGCTGCTGTGTAACCTGGTCTGGGTTGTGCCAGCAGTTTGTCGCTTTGGGAGTGCTTGTGTACCTCGCAGTGGTGCTGTGTTCCGCAGGAAGTGGGAGAAGCTTGCAGTGCGTGAGGTCCTGGCTGCAAAAGTTCCTTCGCATGTCAATTCGGGTGGCTGGACTTCACGTGAAGAGGATGGGGAGTGGAGGAAGCAGGGCAGGAAGCAGTTCTTAACTTTTCTCAGCCCTTACTGTCTTTTTTCTGTGGAGACACATCTAATACTGTGTTCGTCTGCTCTTCCAAGCTTTGGACCAGCCATGTGCCGGTGGTGGTATTCTTCTTAGATTTTTTTTTTTTATGCTTCACAACAGATGTAAACAAATTAATGGCTTGCCTAGCTTTATATAGCTATGTGAGAAAAATTACAGTTCCTGAAATTTTATAGTTTATGCTCCAGCTTTCCATGAGGCAGCAGTGTTTGTGCAGAGAAAAATTTTCTCACCAAAATGTGTAGCGGTGCAACTTTAAGCATCTTACACATACAAAGGATAGTTCTAAGACCTATGGTTCTATCTACCAACTGACTTTTTGCTTGATCAACCTGCTTTCTGTCTGCTAAGAGATATCCTGATGTTTCAGACATCCAGGAAGTTTTAAATGGGTGTAGAGTCTTAACACTGAGAAATTTGACTCTTACAGAAAGCTTCGGGCAACATAAACTGTCACATCTCGTGTATATACTCACAAGAAATGTGCTGCTGATACATCAGTTCTTTTGGTGTTGTTGCTTTATTTTTGAGTTAAGGATGACTGTCATGAATGATGCAGAAACAGCAAACGTGGCATGATAGGAGAGAACATCGTAATTCTTGTAATGCAGGCTGGTATGTCAGTTCATGGCCTCTGATGAATAAATAACATTCCTATTAAACAGGAGCATTGAATCCTACCGGAGAAGGGAAAAGCGCTGAAGCTTTCAGATAGCATAAGGGCAGCATTTGCTTATCACTGCTAGTGATTTGGGCTTGGAAATGAGTTCTTAACCCTGGAGAGGCTGAATTTTTCCCTTGCAGTAGGGTAAGGTAAGAACATTTAAATTGGCTAATAGTAAGGCTTTAGACATGTGGTATATTTTGGAGTGACTAGGTTTTTCTTGAATACCTCAATTCTTTGTATATTTTAAGAAATACAGTATACAAACACCAAATAGAGTTGCAAAGGTCTTGTTCTTTCAGGATAATACAGTCTATGCTGTACCTTGGGTGAGGCAAAATTGCTTCACTCTCCCTCCTTTATGGAGAGATACTTTAAGGGGAGTGGGAGTTGCCGCTCTAAGCATAATTACTAGTAGCGCTGAAGGATATGTGTACAGAAATTACTGTCTTGCACGCTGCCTTCTAGAAGTGGCAAGACAAACTCCATTTGGTATTTGCAAGAAAAATCCATAAATGAATGTATAATTTTTGCAAGCTTCATCTAGCTTATTATTCTGCAAATAATGAAGTGTTGACCATTTTGCAAATATATTCTGCAGTCCTTTCTTTGATTTTTCTGGCATAGCTATGCAAAGACCTCGAAAACTTAGGAAATGCAGTAGTACAGTCTCTTATGGTCTTGGCCTTAACTAGGAATCTGAGGTGACCTAGAGAAAGCTAGCAGGAACTCCACATAATTAGCGTGCTGATCAAGAAGCAAACTTAATGTTTCTCTATTTTTGCAGAACTAAACTTATTTTCTGGGTAGCGTTGCAGTGGGTGAAAGGTGTTCCATATTTTGCAGCTAACAGAACACAGTCAATGTAATGCTGAAAGGTGGAAACAGAAATCAGTGATAGTAACAGCTTGTGCCTCAACCTGATACAAGGTACGGCAGGCAGACTGCTTGGGCTGTAGCTTAGAGGTTGGCTGGTTTCTATGCCTTTTATAGGGTTTGTCTTGCTTCTAGTGCCTCACTGGTGTGCCCTAGAAAGGGATTCAGGACGTGGAAAATCAAACTGTTTCTCCTTGGTTTTTTGAAGACAGGGTCTTTTAACCTAGGAAACTGGAATGGACCGTCTTGTCTCATGGAATATGACCATGATCATTCCCTAGTGATTTGTGACCGAGACACCTATGCCTAGAATGGATGACGCTGCCAGAGCAGATTATTCTTTTGCTCATGACTTTCTTCACGTGACATGAGGACATGAATGGGAGGCATTTATAACTTGCCATGGCCTTGATTTCCCATTGTGGGGATTTTATTACAATGACTGCAGAGAAAAAGAAGGTTCTTTAAACTTTATTCCAGTGTCTACAGTTTTAAATACTGTACACTGACTGGAAGTTCAGTACCAACATGGGAAGAAAATTCAAAATACGTTGTTCTGTGCTTTGGTTTAAATGGTATTTCTATGTTTTCTTTTTTTATAGCTTCTTCAACAGCTGAAGCGATTAATATGTGACCTCTGCAGGTTATATAATCTTCCTCAGCATCCAGATGTTGAAATGCTAGATCAGCCATTACCAGCTGGACAGGTAAACTAAAAAGCTGTGGACACCACCTTATGGCAATGAAGGAGTTGTTTTTTCCACCCCAAGAAACAAGATAGTGGGAATGATTAAACCTTGTGTAAGCCAGAACTGAGATATGAAGCACTGTTGCTTTATGGTATCCTCAATCAGAATTTTGTTTGCAGAATCCTTTTAATAATGGTGTGATAATCTTACACAATTTCCTTTGCAGTTTCTGTGTCATTGAGAGGTGTGTATATGATACCAGTTATGTCAGTTTAATTCCCTCCTAAATATTGTTCAAGCCAATCGCTGTGAATTCCTAGTGCTTCCCAAATTTACTTTTTTCTGAAATGTAAGTGTGATTAAACACTGTTTGCTTTTTCTTGAAGAGTATGTTTTACAGTGTGCACTTGGATGAATTACTATTGATGTTTTCCTTCCTCTTCAATCCCTTGCAGAGACATGGGATATCAAGACCATATGCTGCTTTGGGTAGGGAGTATCTGAGGTGCCTTGTTTACCTTTTGTGCACTTGACAAATTAAGAGTTGTGAAGGACTGTGAAATGTTCTGGTTAACTAAAATGTTTTGTCTTGTGCTGAAAACAGAACTGGTAATTGACAGTAACTGTTCTTTTTTGTATATTTAATAAGATCATGATATCTTATTTTGCTTATACATGTTAAGATGACATGATTTCTAAAAAACTCCTGTAGCGTAACAGATGGTTTTCCTGTGGTGACAGTACTATAGTAAATGACAAATAACTTGCTTAATTTTGGTCATGTGCCAAATTGTAATCCTATAGGTCTTTTCTCTCAGCCACTCACATAGCAGTGCAACTATAAAGCAGTAGGCTTGTAATGTTAAGAAGTCGCTTCACTGAAGAGTCTTGCTTATGCTCTGAAACTCGGAACCAAACTCATGGAAGGTTTCTTAGCCAGAAATGTCAGATAATTTCTAAGTTAAATAAGAGTGGCCTTAGTAAGCCAGACCAAAGATCTGTCTAGTCCCTTGCATTGTCTACAGCAGTGGTGTCCGTTCTTGCCAAAGGAAGAGTAAGCAGAGCACAAGCATATCAGAATGCTCCTGAGTATTTCTGCAGCTCAGACTTCCTGAGCTTGAAGTGGTATCCTGAAATGGAAAACCATGAAAAATGAACTCAATGTATTGTTTTGGTATTTTACCAAATAATCTAATAACAATGGCTATATGATTATAGTAGCTGTTGCCTAGAAGTTCTAGGCCGTGACACAACAGTCCATTTAGTTTGAGAGCTCTAAAGTTTGTTGTTTTGGGGTCTAGAATGTATATGGATTCTAGTCAGAGCCATGATCTGATTTCATGGTTAAGAGACCATGAATCATGACCCACTTAACTTAGTGCATTTGTCACTGTCTCAGAATAGGATATCCTTATCTGAATCTTAAGTTTCCACTTAGAACTTATGTGAAATTTAATTGTGACATTCTGTTTGTCTTTGCTTCATGCAAACATCTTCACTCTCATACTCCAGGAAAGCGTCTTTGAGTATCTTTCATGTTAAACTTCAGTCCTTTGCAGACTTTGATAAGTGTAAATTTTGTATATACCACTTTCTCTTTGATAGTAGACTTCCTGTTTTTGAAAGAAAGGAACATATGCACAATTTATGCAGAAACATCATTGTTATATTGCAGAACGGAACAACAGAAGAAGTTACATCAGAGGAGGAGGAAGAAGAAGATATGGGTGAAGTATGTGTATATATGAGATTGTTATCCTAACCTAGTAGAATTCTGGCATTTTACTCTGCAGTGACTGGGTAGTTATTGAGAAAAACTGTAAAATGTGATCTCCCTAGAGTTCAACAGAAAAGATAATTTAAAATTTGGATGTTTACCTTCGTGTCAGCTTTCACTTCAACCACAAAACTAGTGAAATTTGCTTCTTAAACCTAGATCTCAGCTGTAAGGTACTTGGATACAGAGAATTGGACATCTGTTTGTGCTTTAGTCAAACAATGCATAACATTGTGTGCCAAATCAGTAAGTTTGCATTGTTAACTCCTATTTCAAGCAGCATATGAACTGGCTCTGATATAGCTGAAAGTGTCTCCCAAATTGAAGCAGACTGGCTAAGAGTAGATTGGTTTGCAGATTTATTAAACAGGTGAGCTAGTTTTTAACTATAATATATTGAAGGAAATAGAAGGACATCCGAAACAGGCATGCTCAACTTTAAGGGGTTTATGTCACTGTATGGCAACAACGGTGCTCCTTTTAATGAGCTTTTTACTCATTAAAAGTAAGGTGTGAGAACCACCCCTTTCAATTTGTTCTGCAACATGTTAGAATAGCCCCAAGATGCTTGCTTTTTAAACCACTATAAATAGCCTTATTGTATGAGAACTGTTCTGACTACTTCAGATTAGATTTTTAATGAAGAAGGTGTGTAGTAAGAATGAACAACTCATTCTTTGAATAGAAGGTCTTCCTTTAGAACAGGTTTAAATGTTACCCATGTTCTGGAATTAATTTGAAGCAGCCTCTCTTATACCATATTTAGCCTGATCCAGACCACATTTGTTGGAGCCAGAGTTTCTGTAATGGTAGTATGGTATGTTCCCATATCCTGCTCCTTTTTGCTTGCAGATTTGCAAGTAGCCTTTTGCAGTCTGTTTGGTCTACTTTAGACAAAAAAATGGTCATGTCTGTCATTATTTATAAGCTGTCAGGTGGCACTGATATGTTCAACTTGTAATCTAGTCCAGTTTCTAAATTGAAAAGCAGCTTAGGGTTCCTAGGGCTGTATCATTATTTTGAGGAACATGAGCATTTTAAAGAATACTCAGTCTAAAATGTGTGTTACAGTTGGAGGAAACAGGGTTGTCCAAAGCACCAGTTAGATGTGTTTCTTACTATGTAAGGCTTTCTTGAATTTGCATTTATGGCCGGGTTTTCCTGCCATGCAAACAGATGGTGCATAAAGAGTAACCACAGGTGTGGTGGAGCACTGCATATTGGAGCATATCTGATAGTTGTGTACTCATAGCTTGCTGGTGTGGCTGCTGTAGTGCTTCCTTTTTCATCTCAAGGTACTTGCATCCTTCCCTCCTCTCCGCAAATAGCACTTGAATCACCTTACAGGCAGTTAAGTTCAGAGTGCTTCTCTGCAACATGACAGCCCTGTGTCAGAATAGAGGGGAGGATTTTTTAATGTCTTAGTCTAGAACTCAGAACTGAAATGTTGGCTCATGCGATCAGGATATTTGACCACATAATTTTGTCTCCTATCCTAATGCTGCATCTAATCTTCAGCTGAAATGTTCATTTTGGATAAAGTACATGCAGCTTTTTAATATTTAACTTTCTTGAAGGGTTGCTGTAGCCCTGCCAGGTATGTTAATCATTGTTTGCCAGAAATGTAATACAGCGAGGATTCTAATTGAAAGAGTCTGCTATTAGAAACGTCTTGGAGACACCCTAACTTTGGGTACTTTTGGATTCTCAAGCCCTGTTCAAAATGCCTTAACTTCCTGTTTTCTACCTACTTTAATGGGCTAATTCACCACAATCTTAACTTCTTGCACAGGTTTTATTGTGCTTGTTTCTGTGACCAGAAACATATTGTGAATTTGGGTATCGTTTGTATTGTGAAGGCTCCCTACACTTCCGGTGAATACTGTTGGCTGAGAGAGTAAAGCTGGAGCAGAATAGAAATGGCATCCAGCAATCACAAATACATAGTGCTGTGCAGTATGTGACTGTAACCCTAAATGCCCTTGGAGAAGCTTTTGTTGAACGAAGAGCGTAGTTAAGTTGTTTACAATGAATTTTCCTCTATCCTGTAGGACATTGAAGATCTGGATCACTATGATATGAAGGAGGAGGAACCAGTTGATGGGAAGAAATCTGAGGATGAAGGCATTGAAAAAGAGAACCTTGCAATCTTAGAAAAGATCAGAAAAAATCAAAGGCAAGATCACTTAAATGTGAGTTAATGACTTATGTTTTTTCTTTGTAATACTTCTAGCTTTAACATAGAAATGATTTTCAGCAAATAAAGCCTACTGCTGTGCACTTAGGCATAAATTCACCTGTAGCTGACTTCTAGCATTTATAGGACAAATGTCTCAAGTTACAGAACCTAAATAGCTCTTTTTAGAGAAGTTTGGATAGGCCAACTAATATTCCAAGGTTGTTTAACAAGTGGACTCATATTTCATCAAAATCTTTGGCACAGGAAGTTAGTTGCCGGTCCGCATCCCACAGAGGCACAAAAACTACTTCAAAGCACTCTAATTCAGCCTGGGAGAGTGCTATCATAATTTCTTTTGTAAACTGGGTTGGGATATTCTTGGCATTTCGGATGAAGAAGCATCTTTCAGCTTTTCACTAGAGTCAGCTCTTGCATGTAGATCCAGGTTTCACACTTGTTAATGATATTTAACTGGTGGTCTGATTTCCAGGGGTATCTATTTGGTTGTCTCTTGCTTGATGCCTTTCTTACAAACAATAGTCCTCCTTGCAGAATCAGCAGAAGGCATCTAGATATTAAGCATGACTTTTGTTGCTGAGCCCTTATTAAAATAACAAAACCCTATATAAAATTGACTGTGTTAAGTCATAGGTGACTTAACATACTTAGTAAACCTAGGAATTTGTGCTTTAAATCCATTTTGTGCATGAGTTTGGTTTTTTAGTAATGTCTATGCTGCTTGGAAATTATTGAACTTTTTTCTTTGACATACACAAAGCAAGGGGCCTTCAGCAGCTTTGCAGCTTTGTTATCACAATTTTCTGAGTGATCCTGCCAGCAGGCAGTTTTAAAAGCCTGTTTGTTCTCCAGAGGCTTAGAAATGTTTTGTCGCAAGTGCCAAGTTCCAGAGAAGCTTCTGCTTCTCAAAGGTGCATGTAGGAGGAAATGATGATGTCATGCACCCTTAATTTTATTTAGCCTGGCTTTCAAAGAAGTCGAAACTTCTGTTTCACAGAGGCTTAAAATGTATAATGGATGAAATTCAAGACTTCTGTTCATGACCAATATCAACCAAAGGTAAGGGTTCTAAAATTTCCCTAAGTCACCTGTAGGCAAAGAAGGTGCTTAAATTGGTGCCCTTTAGTGTGTGAGCTCCTAAGTTTTTATATGCTCTATGGTAAGTCAGCAGATGTGTACATCATGTCCAGAGACAAGATGCGCTATTTCTGTTCAGGATAATAGTTGAGGATGTGAGCAGTAGTTAGGTACAGGGGAGGGACCTGTAGGTATTTAGGGAAGGAATAAGGTTTAGGATTGGTATGTAGGGAATACCTGGCTTTTTGCCCAAGGAATCAGCTTTGTTCTATTTCTTATACTTGATGATTTTTCCAGTAAATACTTTCTAAGAAGCCTAAACTGCACTTAAATTATGTTAGAATCAAGAGAATTGCTATTGTAAACATAATTTCATTTGTAGTGAGAACTATATACATTCGAAGTGCTTGGCACTAGCCAAGCCAATCCATTTTTAATATTGGATGTACTCTTGATAGGTCTCGTTATCATAACAATTTAGGGAAAAAGCTCCTTTTGTTAGCAGAATGTTGACTATGTCTTGTCATGAATTACTGGCCCTAAATAACCTTACCTAGTTTAGGAAAAAAACCTTCTTCCTCTTGGTTACTGACACTTTAATATGGAAAAGAGATTTAGGTTGTAGCCCACTGGTTTGCAAAGGAAATAAAATAGAAATGCTTCAATCGGAGTTCTTCAACTATAAGTCTTCTGCTCCTGTCCCAGTCCTGTTCTAATATGACTTCAGTGCAAACCTGTCAAAAATACCTTAGGCTTATGTTGGGCTTCATAGGCAGCATGAGATAGCTGGCTAGAGGAGATTGCTTTTTGATCTGTGTATGAATTCAATAGTTACCTATCAGGTTGTCTGAAGGGAAATGTACAGCCACTGGTTCAAAAATAAACAAACAGCAAAAAACTCAACAAAACAAAAAACCAATCAACTGGAAAAAAACCCCAAACAAAACCTGATCAGCATTTCAGTACTTAAAAGCAGGTCAACATAAGGTGCCAGACTGCTTTTGCTATATAGTCAAGTCTGTTTTAAGACTTGACTAACCATAAACACAACGGCCACTTACTGTTTTTTGGGTTTTTTTAACTTAACTGTGTGTTCAGTGTTTGAGAAGATGCTTATTCAGATTCTGTATATTTCTGTACTTACAACTCAGACCTAATGGTAAAGACTTCTTAATTGTTAAATAAAATAAATCCACTTGCAGCCTGAAAGGCATGGTCTGCTTTACCATCATCTAAAAATTTGGTAGAACTGAAAAAAGGTGTTTATAGTGTCAACATTCTTCTCTGATGTGGAAAGCCTTTTAAAACTTCAGATTCTCTTCTGCTGTCTGTTCTTTCCCATTTGGCAAATACTGCCTTTCCTTTTGCTTTTTCCTTCCTCATCTAGTGGAGCTGAAATGAGCACTGCTGAGTGCTTTTTTTTTTTGTTTGTTTGACAACAGCAGATTCAACTTACATAATAGCTGTTTCTCATGCCAAGACACTCTAGTTGATGCTGGTGCATAAACAAGGTCAGCTGAGTACAGGGAACAGGGTATTCAAGTGCTGCTGAGGAACTGTGGTATTTTTGTGGGTCACCAGAAATAGCTGTGCTGCTTAAATAATTTCTCGAAGGACCTGTGAAGGTTTACTCCTAAGTGCTTGAGAATTTAAAACTATAGCTGCACTACTAACCCGTGAAAGAGCTAACCTAGTAGCACTTAAATGTTCCTTTTTGCTGCCAAAACAGCACGGGGGACTTGTAACAGATCATGTTAAACATGGTCTAAGATAGCAGAAGTTGCTCAATATCCTAACATAAAGCAAAATTTAAATCTGTACAGCCCTTCACAGTGGGTTTTCTGCAAGGACAGCAGGAGTTTCATGAACTTAAATATAATGGCTAAACATAGTCTGGTTTTCACACAGCTCTTTTGGTCTACTTTATTTAGTCAGCAAAGTAAAACAAAGCTGTCTGATTTACATGCTTGTTGTTGGAGAAGAGGGAACGTGAAGCCTAATGCAGGGTTTTGACTAGTGCCCAATGCAACCAGAAGACTTTCTGGTTTCTTTACATGTTCATTGGCCCAAACCCATGAGTCATGCTCTCTCCCCTTGGCTGAAACATAGGTTGAAGATCCGGATCATGCAAAAGGTTTTTCCGTAGGGAAGGAGTGCATGCAGTCCTGTTTTTGCGTACGCAGATTAAAGACTTTAAAGACTTTTTTTCTGCTGCTCAAGACTTTTGTCATAGGCATTTTTAGGGTTTGTGTGTTTTATGCAAGTTAAGAATATGTATCTACTAATTTTGTAAACTAGTTCTGCTCCTTGGCAGTATCCCTAATCCTCTTCTTGCTGGCATCAGGAAATAAACTTAAATTTGGCTTGCGGTACAGTATGTAACTTGGAGCAAGAATTAATCCTCCTCTTAACATTGTAATAACTTTAAAGAACCACTTGCTTACTGGGAATAAAAAACGGTCTTTGAACTGGAATCATTAACTTCAGATATTTAACAACTTGCTGCTGCTTGCTTTTCAGAGGTCTCTCCCCACATAGTCATTTTAGAGATTAACGCTTTTCTTATTTAGATAATGCTATTAGCCTTTTCCATTTCCTACTGAGGAGTTTATGCACTTTCCTTTAGAAGTCTCAAATGTTTCCACTTTCATCTTCAGATGTTATGAAGTCTAAGACGTCATTTCCATTTTCAGTCTAATCTTTGAAGTAAGCATGAATCTACTTTAACTTGCAAGAATGAATGTACTTCTGCACCAATACTGAGAAAGTTCAGTGACAATAGAGCAAGCTTGTATTCTTTAGGTCTTTTGGGTCACTTCAGATTTTTATTTTATTATCTTGGAGGAGTTTCCATTTTTTGTGTTTTGTTTTAGCAGGCAATTTCTGCTCTTGTGGCTGAATTATCTGAAACGTATTGTGATTTATTTTACTGTTTTGCCGTGTGACAATATTTTTCTGATTGGACAGAAAACAAACAATCCGGTCTTTGGATTTAAAACTGCATCGAACTGTACCTCCTACCTCAGATAACTCATATAAAGAGCAGGTGGTGGTTGTGTTTAGAGGGATGGAAGATGTAAAGGAAATGTCCAAAGGAGAAAGGCTGAGGCTGCAAAACCTTGTGTCTCTGGAGGCTTAGTGCAGCAGATGGCTGGGGCAGTGGCATGTGCTGCGCTGGTTAGGTGTGCCCTACTGACTTGGGAATGCAGAAGCTCAGTTCTGAACTCTTGAGTTTTCTTGGAGGTTGCTTAACTGTTCTATAAAGTATTTTACTCAAATTTGTGCGTTCACACTAAAATACTAAATAAGGATAGAAATGCTTCTGAAAAATAGAATGCCTGTACTGACTTGGACCAAAGTTTCACGTTTCTGACAGTGGCAGAAGCATGTCCTTAGGGAGAAGAGTTTGAGAACAGGACAAGCTTGTAGTGATGCATCTCATCAATACTTTTCATGTCCAACAGTTTTGTCTCTGGGAATCCCTGCAGCAGATGTTTCTGTTGTTTGCAACTCTCAGCAAATGGCATGTTGTCCACATAAACGTTTACCTCCCGTAGCAGGGATTTCTCCAGCTTACCTGCTCATTGTTCTGGAGAACCACAGGTATGCTTGTTCACGAGGGGAGGAGACTTTTTGTGCCTATATTATTACTTATTAGGGAAAAAAGTCACTTGGGGCTTGTCTGGCAGCTTTTTTAACTGCTTCGGTTCACAGATCAAACAGCTATGCCTTTCAGCTCTTGGCATCAACCTCACATGACAGGTAGCTGTCAGATCCCATGATTGACTGGTTATTTCTAAGGCAGCTGTGATTATAAGTCTTGATTCCACAACAGGAGAAAGAGGAGCTTTAACTCCCTTGGAGCGGTAGGGCCTACTTTTCCAGAAAGATATTTATGTCTGAATTCAGTCTTTGAAATTATAACTTGTATATAGCGAGTTATTGAAAGTTAAAAAGTTTTTAATTTTAGTACCATTATAGTCAAAACTGAACTCACTGCTCTGCTGCATCATGCAGCGGTGTGATGCAAGTCGTACTCTCTTCTAAACTGCACTTTAACAGTAGTTATAAAAAAACAAGGGACATCAGAACAAAGACTTCGTTTCAAAGCCGTGGTGTTTGGCATTAAGGTTACCATCAGGTACAGCAGTTAATCTCTGCAGGCTTCCTCTTCGGCTTCCTCCAAGGGTAGTTCCAAGTGTGTAAAGTAAGCTCCTGTGCTAAACTTCTTAGGTTAAGCTTACTAGCCCTCTTT